GTTCTAGTCCCACCTAATTCTATTCCAGTGTATTATGTTTTGAAATAAGTTGTTACGGGAATAGGCAATGAAATACACATTATTGTATCTATGTGTACTTTTCTGTTGTAGTACTTAATACATTAATACTATTTGGTAAGAGCTATTGAGCCTCTAAAAGCCAGTTTGGTGTAGTGGTGAAGGCATCAGGCTAGAAACCAGAGACTGTGAGTTCTAGTCCCACCTAGGCACAAAGCCAGCTGGGTAACCCTGGGCCAGTCACTTTCCCTCAGCCCTAGGAAGGAGGCAATGGCAATCCAGTTCTGAAAAACCCTGCCAAGAAAACTGCAGGGACTTGTCCAGGCAGTCTCCAAGAATCGGACGCAATTGAACAGATTAAAAAAAAATCGAGCCCCTACCTTCTTAACACAAATGGGTGTGTGTGTGTATCAAAATAAAAAATTAGGCATTCAGTGAACTGTAACATGTCATTATTCACATTTGAATTGAAAAAGTTGCTCATATTTTCTTGCTTTGGGGCCAATCCACCCTAAATGAGTGGAAATGCCACCTTTTGATTGACTTCCATTATACCTGACTACAATTTCAATCATTTTAACTAACTGAAGTCAAGAAGTAGGTTTGCCACAAAAGGTTTGCCATGGAGTGCTCCTGTCCGAGGTGCCAGCTTTCATGCTTCCTTCCTGGACAGTCCATTCCCTTCCATTTCCTTCTTCCCCTTCCTAGTTCCCGTGACACCCTCTTTTATCTTGGCCTTTGGCAGCACATGCCAACTTAATATGCCTATCAAATTCTTTAGAAATGTTTGAATACAACATGTCACAATTGTGAATACTAAGAAATAGTAAGCTTTCCTCCAAAGATATACTTTAAATTTAAAATGTTGATGCAGTTGTTCAATGTGTTAATGTTAGTTATTACAATTATTTATTATTTCAATTTTGAGGCCACCCAACTCGATAGCAATCCTGGATGGCTTACAAGTTAAAAGAAGAAAACAAGAAAAAAGACAGCTGACTGGAAATAAACCTAAAGAACTGAATAGCAAAAACACCCAAGAACAAACCAAAGGGGCTCGACCACATCCTAACTTAAGGTCTGGGAGAAGAACCAGGTCTTTAGCAGTGTGCAGAAAATGAAAAGGGCGGGAACAGTCCGAATATACGCTCTAACACAGTCTGTGTCTCTGAGAGCCTGTGTTCTGCTTCGTGACTAACATATGCATTATCTCTTACAAGTTGTGCCCTCAAGATACTTTGTGAACCTTTATAGTTATTTCATGGCTAACATCATCACTTACAATTAACCCTTTGCACTGGCATGATCTATATCCTTACCATGGATATGCATTTCTCACTGTTGTAGCATCCTGACAAGCAAGGAAGGGAGGGGGTGTTTGCTTATTTGTTGGAAGGGCGTGGCTCCCCTAATTACAACTAGGAAGACCCTAGAGATAATTTTCCTCTCCAGAAGCCAAAACCAAAGAAATGTATTATGCTTCCATTTGAAACTTTACCAAATGCTGGAATATTATTTTTTCCCCAATTCAGAAACGCTTTTTTTAGACTTTGTGGGATGTATACTAAGGCAGTTGTGTTTCTCGAGCAGGGGGATCTCCAGATGATGGACTTCAACTCCCAGGATTCTCCAGCCAGCATAAACATTGCTGAGAAAGGTGAGAATTGAAGCCCACACCTCTGGAAGTTGCCCAGGTTGGGAAAAACTAGCCTAGTTCCTCTGAAAGTTCAGTATAACTACCATGCCCACTCATTGATAGAACCCTTATAGGTTTGTCTAATTCTAGTCTTCTTTGACTTGGTGGCCTCTAGTTGTGTTGGGATTTCAACTCTCAGAATTTCTGACCAGCATGAAGTTAAGGCTTCCCTATCCTTCCAGCCACCAGGTAGTTGTGATTACCACTCCTAAAATTTCCAGCCAGGCACTAGATCATGGAAAGTTGGAATAATTACTCTTTTAAAGCCAGCTAAACAAATGACCACCCTGACTTATGAGTATTTGTCTGAAATTCACTCATTATTTCACTTTTGCTCTAAACTAGATAACCTATAATCTGTTCCACAAAATGATTATTTCTTATAGGCAAACAGTCCAGTGTTTTAAACCAATACAATATTATGGGGGGAAAAATCAACTCTAAAATCCCCTCCCCCCCCAAAATCCCAATATTTACACTCATAAATACTGAAAAAGAAGCACTGTATGAGGATTGTGCTGTTAGACTTATCAAACAAAACAGCGTCCATCCTTTTTATATTAACAAAGAGTGCTTTGTAAATTCCATACTTACTCATGGTAGTCAAGGCCATTTTTCCAACATCGCATGCTGAAGCAACAGAAAGCTTTCTGGCTAGAATCTGCTTGGGAGAAAATTTTGTTTCATTTTATCTTTTACTCCCAAATATATTTTATTAAAATACTAAAAATCACTAATTGCCACAGAGAAGATGATACATGTAGGATTCTTTTAGTTGTGTTTTGTTGTTAAAAACCCCCACTTCCTTACATTCCAATAAAATAGTAAAGCTGAGCTGACAGCCACTTGGTTGTATCTTCAGGAGAGAAGTTAAGGGTCTCAGAAAATATCAAGCTTTGTAGAACATACATAAATGGTTCTAGTTATAAAAGTGATCATGCCTCATCTTAACAATATAGGCTAAAGAACAAAATAGCTGAAATTGCACGTAAGAAGAGACCAAATGCAAAGAAAGATTAGTGTTGGGGGGATGGGTTGGTGGTAGCTTGGGAAGAAAAAAGGAGAGCGAGACTTAGTCTCAGCTTGGGAGAGATTTTTAACCATTCCCTGCAAGAGAAGGAATGGTAGGAGTATTACTTCAGAAAAGTCTATGTTTAGATCCAGATACTACTTTTGGGTTACATGTCACATGCTTTGTTTTCCTAGATTTGTATTTGTGGATGATGTCAACCCCCTTTTTCTTTGTACGTCATACTGAATTGCTGATTTAGAATTAGTCTCTGGACACTGCACATTGACAAGACCTGGCTTGACCATCAGGTTTTTCCCAAGAAATTACAGCCTCAAGGACATAATGAAATGTAGAGGAGGGCTCTTGTTTCGCTCTGGCTGGAGAATCCCGGTATTCCAAACACAGCAATCAACCTGAGAGGAGCAATGCTGCTGTCCCAGGAAGAAACCTCATGAGTCCTCTTGAGTGGTACCTTGCTTTGTGAACAGCTTAATATTGCACTATCAGGAAAATTTCATATTTATAAATGGATAATTAGGAATAATGATAATAGAGAACATGGGTCAAATAATCAATTCCAGTCTAGACAGAATGCTTCAGTGGATTACACATTAACAACTAGACAATGTAGTGAAAAATACTGAGTCCCTCGAAAACTGAAGGACACTGCCAGCTGTGTCAAAAGAACACACTAGAATTGAGGGAGTTTCATTATTTCCATTCCATCCTATCTTAAACATTTGACTACAGATTAAAATAATTTTAAACTCACTTTTCAAGTGATAACAGGTGCTTTATCATGTCTAATCTATACATATGTACATACATTCAGGTAGTCCTCACTTACTGATGTTGTCACATTATCTGAGCAAATGTATCTGTAAAGCCTTGGTACTCTAATGGGAGGAAAGTACTTGATTTGTGAGGTGATCAGATTGCCCTGACACTCACCTTGGTTCTTGGAGAGTGGAACAGCCCTTTTGAATGCAATTGCTGCCCTTACCTGATCTAGCTAAATCTCTAATGAAATATGAACAGGAGTGGATTATGCTAAAGGACTAAGATTGACTTTAGTTCGTGCTCAGGATGCATTAAAGTATTTGGTTCCAGGATGTATCAGCTTTATTATTCTTTGCCCTATTATTGGTATTTTTCATATACTGTATATATTTTCTTCACCACGACTTTCTCCTGCTTAGGTCTGATTACACAATTCGGGCAGAAAAGTTCTGATACAGTTAAGAAGAATGGCTTCGGTAGCCTCTACCCTTACAGAACTCTTATACTGTCAGGTTGTGATAATAAAAAGAGATTCAGAGAAATGTCATAATGTTTGCTCTCTAGAGGGCAATGAACTTATGTTTCTCTTACAATAAGTACCAGGCCTTAATATTGCATAATTTTAAAGGTCTGAACATAGATTTCATGGCATAGATCCAGGTAGGTAATGAGCTGGAAAACAAATAGATAAAGAGCTTGGTCTCATATATATTTATATATTTAGATAGAGAGATTTCCCCCAAGATAATCATATAGATATATTCCTTCCAAGACAACCTATCCCCAGCTTGGTAATTTCGTCCTTCAGGTCTTCCAATAGTGTACTCATTACCCCTGTAACTCTGAATTTCACTTTATGACTGCTAACCTTTCTATTCCGCTTTCTAAGTTGAAAAAGGAAGCTGACGTTTCTGGATATGCCTCGATGAGGACGACGACGACGACGACGTAATAACAGCGGTGCACCTCCCGAGCAAACTTCGAGCGTGACCCTCCTCCCCGCACTGATTGGGTTAAACCAGTGTTTCTCAACCTTGGCAACTTTAAGATG